CCAAAGGGCATGTCCGCATGTGGACGCAGGGCCGCTTTGCCCCGAAATGTCCGACTTCGGACGAAACCGTTCAGGGCACCAGCTTGTAGCCGCCGCTTTCGGTCACCAGAAGGGATGCGTTGGAGGGATCGCTCTCGATCTTCTGGCGCAGCCGGTAGACGTGAGTTTCCAGCGTGTGGGTCGTCACGCCCGAATTGTAGCCCCAGACCTCTTCGAGCAGCGTGTCGCGGGTCACCACCTGGGCGCCGCTGCGGTAGAGGTATTTGATGATCGAGGCTTCCTTCTCGGTCAGGCGGATCTTGCGGCCGTTGCCATCGACCAGCATCTTCTGGCTCGGCGTGAACGTGTAGGGGCCGACCGAGAAGGTCGCGTCCTCGCTCTGCTCGTGCTGGCGCAGCTGCGCGCGGATGCGGGCCAGCAGCACGGCGAACTTGAACGGCTTGGTGACATAATCGTTGGCGCCCGCTTCCAGCCCGAGAATGGTGTCGGAATCGGTGTCGTGGCCGGTCAGCATGATGATCGGCGCCTTGAAGCCGCCCTTGCGCAGGATCTTCACCGCCTCGCGGCCGTCCATGTCGGGCAGGCCGACATCCATCACCACCAGGTCGATCATCGCGCCGCGCGCCGCCTCGACGCCCTTGGTGGCACTGGCGGCCTGCAGCACGTCGAACTCCTCGTAGAGCGAGAGTTGCTCGACCAGCACTTCGCGCAGATCATCGTCATCGTCGACAAGCAACAGCGTTCGGGTCGTCATGATCCACCTTCATCGGTTCGGCCCGTGCGGTTGCGCGGGAAGGGTCAAGTATCTGGCCCTTTTGGCATCTTAATGGCAGTTTGCGTGTCAACAAAGGCTCAACTTTGCGTGTCTGCCGCGTCAGCGCACCGTGAATGTCCGTGAGCGAACAAGGCGCCGGCACCCATGCTCACAACCATTGAAGTAAGGCGCAAACCGGGCGAGAGCGCACGCGGCGTACTGATTGCCGGCGCTCGGACGCTGTCATGCGCGCTGGGACGTTCAGGCCCCTCGATCTTCAAGCGCGAGGGCGATGGTGCCACGCCCGCCCATGCCGCCATGCGACCGCTTTGGGGTTATTGGCGCCCCGACAAGGGCGTTCGGCCGCGATCTATCCTGCCGCTGCACCGGATCGGGCCGGATGACGGCTGGTGCGATGCGCCGGAACACCCGTCCTACAACGCGCCCGTGCGGCTGCCGTTTGCCGCCTCGCACGAGGTCATGCGCCGCGCCGATTGCCTTTATGACATCTGCATCGTGCTCGACTGGAATATGGCGCCGCGCGGCCGCGCACGGCATCGCGGATCGGCGATCTTCCTGCACATGGCCAAGCCGGGCTACCCGCCCACGGCCGGCTGCATCGCGCTGGCACGCCGTGATCTTGAATGGCTGGTCGCCCGGATCGACCGGCGCAGCCGCTTCGTCGTCGTGCGCTGATCAGACGCCGATCAGGCCGATCACGGCGCCCATGACCGTGGCGACCAGCAGCCAGTGAGCGCCGTCGATCAGCGTCAGGTCCCATCCGGCGTTCTGGTAGCGGTGGTTGATCGCCATGGTGGTGGCGATGAAGCCGGCCCAGACGAAAAGACCCGAGATGATGCCGTTGCGCAGGGTGACCTGTCCGTCGCCGAGATGGCCGATCAGCCCTGCCAGAACGAAGGCCATGACGAGCTGGCAGGCGAAGGTGATGGCAAACAGGGCCGGGCCGAACCTGGCGTCTTCGGGTGCGATTCCAGCCGCCTTCATCCACGGCCTGGACAGGGCACTGTAATAGACCGCGCCGACAATGAATGCGCACACCGTGGCGGCGAGCACCGCCCAAAGGTTGATACCGCCAAATGTCACCGCTGCCTCCTGCTTTGACCGCTGGCAGACAAACACCATGCCGCTTCGCGATCAAGCGGCACGCCAGCCGCCGCCGCTCACACTTTTTTGCTTGGCAAATCAGCGCGAAGGCGCCACCTTGATCGTGTGTTCAACGAAGTGAAAGGAGGTGATCCGATGTCGAGTGGTTCCATGGGTCCGGTTCGGTCTTTGCGGGTCATCATCCGTTGGAGCAGTCTCTGACGGCGTGAGCGCCCCGCGCAGCCGGTGACGCCCTGAAGGGCGCAAGGCCTGACGGTCGGCCGGAGACATGAATTGCGGAAGGGCCGCCCGAGCGATCGGGTGGCCCTTTTTCGTGCTTGCCGTCCTCTCTCTTGCGCTTGGCGCGCGCTTGGGGTTGGCCGGTTCAGAAGTCGATCGCCAGGCCCTTGACCTCCCAGTCGCCGTATCGGGCCGGGTCCTTGCCGCCGCGTCCGCCGCGTTCGGCTTCCGCCTGCGCCTCGAACCGGTCGACTTCGGCGCGGCGCGCTTCGGCTTCCTTCAGGGCGCGCTGGGCCGCCGGCGGCAGATCCTCGAAACGCCGCGCCGGCGCTTGGTCGGCATCCGGATCGGATGTGATGTCCTCGCTCGCCATGCAGCCCCCTTCGGTCGATTGTTGAAACTCTGACGGCGCTCATCCATTTATATGGCGGCCCCGGGGGCCGCGTCCAGCAGCCCCGCAAGAACAGCGACGATGATGGAGTTGCACCCGATGAACATGATCAAGACCGCCATGCTGATCGCCTTCATGACGGCGCTGTTCATGGGCATAGGATATCTGATCGGCGGTACGGGCGGGATGATGATCGCGTTTGCCATCGCGGTCGTCATGAACGGCTTTTCCTACTGGAACGCCGACAAGATGGTGCTGCGCATGAACGGCGCGGTGGAGGTCGATGAGCAAAGCGCGCCCGAATATTACGGCATGGTGCGCGATCTGGCCGCCAATGCCGGCCTGCCCATGCCGAAGGTCTACATCATCAACCAGGAGCAGCCCAATGCGTTCGCCACGGGCCGCAATCCCGAAAACGCCGCCGTTGCCGCGACGACCGGCCTTTTGGACCAGCTGACGCCCGAGGAGGTGGCCGGCGTGATGGCGCATGAACTGGCCCACATCCAGAACCGCGACACGCTGATCATGACGATCACAGCGACGCTGGCCGGCGCGATTTCCATGCTGGGCAATTTCGCGCTTTTCTTCGGCTCGGGCCGCGACAACAACAATCCGCTGGGCATTGTGGGCGTCCTTATCGCAATGATCGTCGCGCCGTTTGCCGCAATGATCGTGCAGATGGCGATCAGCCGGACGCGCGAATATTCAGCCGACCGGCGCGGCGCGGAGATTTGCGGCCGGCCCGACTGGCTGGCCAGCGCCCTTGCCAAGATCGCCCGGGCTGCCGGCCGTTCGGTGAACGTGCCCGCCGAGCGCAATCCGGCGACGGCGCACATGTTCATCATCAATCCGCTCAACGGCCAGCGTGCCGACAGCCTGTTTTCCACCCATCCGGACACGCAGAACCGGATCGACGCGCTGATGGCGATGACCGATGCCGGCGGCCCGCCGGCACGGCCGCATCGGCCCGAACCCGCCCCGCGCCGCACATCGGGCGTTCCGGGCACCGGCAATCGCTGGGGCCGTTCTCATGACGGCAGCGACGGCAATGGCGGACCCTGGGGTTGAGCGCCTCCGCCCGCCGTCGCAAGCCCACAAAACGCACAGCCACACATGGCGCAGCAGAACGGCCCGGCCTCGCCGCCCGGCTGGCGGGCCAGCGCCTTTTGAGCGCGATCGTCGATTCGCGCACGCCGATGGATGCGCTGACCGACGACAGCCACGGCCATCCGCATTATCTGGCGCTCGATGCGCGCGACCGGTCGCTTGTCCGCGCCATGCTGATGGCGGCGCTGCGCCACCGGGGCGATCTCGAAGCGCTGATCGACCGGTTCACCGACCGGCCGCTGCCCGGCGGCGCCGCATCGCTGCGCGCCATCATCCATCTCGCGCTGGCGCAGATCCTGTTCCTCGACGTGCCGGACCACAGCGCCGTCGATCTTGCGGTCGAGGCGGCGCGCACCGACCCGCGCAACCGGCGCTTCGCCGGTCTGGTCAATGCGCTTTGCCGCCGCGCAGTACGCGACCGGGAAAAGATTCTCGACGCGATCGCCCGGTCACCGTTGCGCGCGCCGGCATGGTTCGCCGAGCGGCTTACCGAGATCTATGGTGCGGACAGGGCGCTTGCGATCGAAGCGTGCCACCGGCGGCCGGCGCCGATCGATCTGACGCTGGCCGACGAAAGCCCCGAAAACGTGGTGCTGTGGGCGGAACGGCTCGGCGCTATCGCGCTGCCCACCGGTTCGCTGCGCCTGACGTCCCATACGGCAATCACGGAGTTGCCCGGATATGCCGATGGCGTCTGGTGGGTTCAGGACGCGGCGGCGGCGATCCCCGCGCGCCTGTTCGGCGATGTCGCCGGCCAGCGGGTTCTCGACCTTTGTGCGGCGCCCGGCGGCAAGACCGCGCAACTGGCCGCGCGCGGCGCCACCGTCACCGCGCTCGACCAGTCGGCGAACCGGCTCAAGCGCCTTGCCGCCAATCTCGACCGGCTCGGCCTGGCCGATCGCTGCGAGACGGTTGCCGCGAGCCTGTTCGATCATGGGGCGGACGTGCCGTTCGATGCGGTCCTACTCGATGCGCCGTGCTCGTCGACCGGCACCGTGCGGCGGCACCCCGACGTGCCCTGGACCAAGACACCGGACGACATCGCCAAACTGGCCGCGCTGCAGGCGCGGATGCTGGAGAGGGCGGCCGACTTCGTCGCGCCCGGCGGAACGCTGGTCTTTTCCAACTGCTCACTCGATCCGAGCGAGGGCGAAGACGTGGCGCGCGCCTTTTCGCGCGAACATGCAAACTTCGAGCCTCTTCCGGCGACCGATGACGACCTGCCCGGCCTTTCATCGGCGATCACCGGGGAAGGATTTGTCCGAACCACACCGGCGGATCTGCCGCTTGCCGGCGATGAGGCGCGGCTTGGCGGGATCGACGGTTTTTTTGCCGCGCGCTGGCGCCGTAGGGTCTGAAAAACGACAATAAAGCATTGGTTTGGCATAGCTGCGCAATGCAGTTATGGTTTCAGCCGATTGGGGAATCGGGGCGGAAGCCGTGGCACGTTCTCGCTGGAATGCGCAGCCGGGATACTGGGGAGTCAGCACCGGCCTGCTGTGGGAACGGCTGCGCTACCGGCTGCAGTCCGGCTCGATCACCAATTGGCAGCTTGTCGGCCCGGTTCCGGCGCGGCTGCTGCTGTCGCCGTCATGCCTGCGGCCCAGCGATCCGCTTCTGGCGCGCGACTTCTATCAGGGGCGCTACAGCTTCGGCGGGCGCACGGTCGAGACCGGCAGCCAGTCGCCCTTTCTGGCGGAGCCGCCATCGGCGGCCTGGTATGCCGAACTTCACGGCTTCCGGTGGCTGCGCCATCTCGCCGACGCCAACACCGATCTTGCGGCAGCGCAGGCACGCGCGCTGATCGAGGACTGGATCAGCGGCTACGGCAAGCGGCTGCGCGAACCGGCCTACGACCTGCCGACCACCGCCAGCCGCTTGATTGCCTGGATCCAGCACGCCCGCTTCTTTCTGCAGAGCAGCGAGCACGGTTTCTACCGCCGTTTCATGATGTCGCTGTCGCGGCAGGTTCGATATCTGCGCAACGCGCTGCGCGGCTATCCGGACTGCATCGACACGCTACAGGCGCTGATCGCCCTGTCGGTCGCTTCGCTCGCCATCCCGACGGCCGAGCGCCGCCAGCAGCGCATTGCCCGGCAGCTCGAATTCCAGCTCAAGCGCCAGATCCTGCCAGACGGTGCCCATGTCAGCCGCAACCCGGCGCATCTGCCCGAACTGCTCGCCGATCTTCTGCCGCTGGCGCAATGCTATGTGGCCGCCTCGCGGCCGGTGCCGCCCGAACTGGTGCGTGCCGTCGACCGGATGTTTCCGCGCCTGCGTGCCATGCGCCACCGCGACGGGCATCTGGCGATGTTCCACGGTGCCGGATATGACAAGACAGACCTGATCGCCGCCGTGCTGCGGCTCGACCAGACCGAGGGCAAGACCGGGCCGCATGCGGTCCAGAGCGGCTACTATCGGCTCGAGGCCGGCGACACGGTGATCATCGCCGACACCGGCACGATACCGAAGGGCATTGACGGGGCGAACTGCCATGCCAGCGCGCTGGCCTTCGAACTGTCGACGCTGCGCGGCCGGATCGTCACAAATCTGGGCGTCGACCGGCTGCTGCGGGCTGATTTCGGGCCGGTCGCCCGCGCCACCGCCGCCCATTCGACGCTTTCGGTGGGCGATGTGTCGTCGGCGCGCTTTCGCCGCTTCGCCGGCGCGCCCCGAAGGCATGACTGGCGCGCGGTGTCCGGTCCGCGCCGGGTCGCGGTCTCCGACTGGCAGAGCGACGGCATGACCGGCTTTTCGGCCGAACATGACGGCTATCAGCGCGTCTTTGGCCTTGTGCATGAACGCGGCATCGCAGTCCGGCCCGATGGCGGCCGTGTCGACGGGTACGATCTGCTGCGCCCGCCCTCCGGCCGCAAGCCGCATGCGGTTGCGGCGCAATTGCGCTTTCATTTCCATCCGGGCGTGCGCGTGAGCGCGACGCAGGCGGCCAACACGTTCCTGCTCTCTCTCGAAAGCGGCGAACGCTGGGCGTTCCGCGCCATCGGTGCGCCCGCCGCGATCGAGGAAAGCCTCTTTCTGGCGGCCGTCGCCGGCCCCGTGCGCACGGCGCAGATCGCGATCGGCATCGAGTGGCCGGAGACCGAACGGGTGAGCTGGCGCTTCGAGCGACTGTCCGACTGACAGCCCGACGATTTGCTGTGCGTTGCGGACCGGCCGTGGCGGGCTGGCGGTGGGCAATCGGCGTGGCGCCATGATAAGCGGGCGCCATCATCCGTCCCAGCCGAGGAAGTCCGCCCATGGCCGTCGCCGCCAAGACCATCGCACCGCCCGACCGCGTGCCCGTGCGCCGGGCGCTATTGTCGGTGTCCGACAAGACCGGGCTGGTCGAACTGGCGGCCGCGCTCGCGGCGATGGACGTCGCGCTGGTCTCGACCGGCGGGACGCGCCGGGCACTGGCCGATGCCGGGCTCGCGGTTACCGACATTTCCGAAGTGACCGGGTTCCCTGAAATCATGGACGGAAGGGTGAAGACGCTGCATCCCAAGGTGCATGGCGGGCTTCTGGCCGTGCGCAACGATCCCGACCATCAGGCCGCCATGACCGAACATGGCATCGAGGGCTTCGATCTGGTCGTCGTCAATCTCTACCCGTTCGAAGAGGTCGTCGCGTCGGGCGGCGATGAGGCGACGACGATCGAGAACATCGACATTGGCGGCCCGGCCATGGTGCGGGCCTCGGCCAAGAACCATGGCCATGTGGCGATCGTCACCGACCCGGACGACTACGACATGGTGCTCGGGCATCTGTCGGACGGCAAGGGCACGACCGATCTTGCCACGCGCCGCCGCCTCGCGGTCAAGGCGTTCAAGCGGACGGCGAGCTATGATGCGGCGGTTTCCCGCTGGATGGAGACGGCGTTCGATGCCGAACCGTTCGATGCGCTCGATGCGCTGGGCGGGCGCCGTGTCGCGACGATGCGCTATGGCGAGAACCCGCATCAGGCGGCAGCGCTTTATCTGACCGGCGAGACCCGCCCGGGCGCTGCCACGGCGAGGGTACTGCAGGGCAAACCGCTCTCCTACAACAACATCAACGACACGGACGCGGCCTTCGAGCTGGTCAGCGAGTTTGGCGCGGAGACGCCGGCGGCGGCCATCATCAAGCATGCCAATCCGTGCGGCGTCGCGCGCGCCGGAACGCTGATCGACGCCTATCGCGCCGCATTCGATTGCGACCGCACATCGGCGTTCGGCGGCATCGTCGCGTTCAACCGTGAACTGGACGCCGAAACCGCCCGCGCCGTGCTTGAGATCTTCACCGAAGTCGTCATTGCGCCGGCGATCAGCGACGGCGCGCGCGAGGCTTTTGCGGGCAAGCCCAATCTGCGCCTTCTGCAGACCGGCGGGCTCGCCGATCCGCGCGCGCCGGGCTTCGTCGTCCGGCCGGTCGCCGGCGGCTATCTCAAACAGGGGCGCGACGCGGCGGTCGTCGGCGACATGGCCCTGCGCGTCGTCACCAAACGGGCGCCGGACACGCGCGAAATGAACGATCTGAAATTCGCCTTCCAGGTTGCCAAACACGTCAAGTCGAACGCGATCGTCTATGCGCGCGACGGCGCCACCGTGGGCATCGGCGCAGGCCAGATGAGCCGTGTCGATTCAAGCCGCATCGCCGCGCGCAAGGCGGTCGACGCCGCCGAGGCGCTCGGTCTCGCCGAGCCGAAGACCAAGGGATCGGTGGTTGCCTCGGACGCGTTCTTTCCGTTCGCGGACGGATTGCTGGCGGCCGTCGAGGCGGGCGCGACAGCGGTCATCCAGCCGGGAGGCTCGATGCGCGACGATCAGGTGATCGAGGCGGCCGATGCGCACGGCATCGCCATGGTGTTCACGGGCACCCGCCATTTCCGCCACTGACCCGACGACCGGGCGGCTCGGCGCCATGGTTTTGCCATCGGTTTGCCGCATTCGCGGCTAAGGTGCGGCGCCGGGAATGCCGCGCCCGTCTGACATGTTCGTGATGGGTACGGGGAAACCTTGCGGTAACTTTCCGTCAACTATATTGCGTGGATCGGAAGCGACTATCGGGACCTCTAACATGCGTGTGCGTTCGGCTTTCACCGCATTGGCGCTGTCGGCAGCGGTCGCGCTGGCCTCGTGCCAGGGCAGCGACGTGCTGAACCTTGCCGCCGAGGCGCCGCTGCCGCGCGATGTCGTCAACATCATGAGCGCCAAGGGGATGACCAAGTCATCGCCCATCATGATGCGCATCTTCAAGGAAGAAGAGGTGCTGGAGGTCTGGAAGCAGACCGACACCGGCCGCTACGATCTCGTCAAGACCTATGAGATCTGCGAGTTTTCCGGCGACAAGGGACCAAAATTCCGGGAAGGCGACCGGCAGAGCCCGGAAGGGTTCTACTTCGTCAACCGGAACCTTCTGAACCCCAATTCGAGCTATCATCTGTCGTTCAATCTGGGCTTTCCCAATGCGTTCGACCGCTCGCATGGCCGCACCGGCTCGTTCCTGATGGTGCACGGAGATTGTTCGTCGCGCGGCTGTTACGCGATGACCGACAAGTACATCACCGAGATCTACGCGTTCGCGCGCGAGGCGCTGCGCGGCGGCCGGCAGAACGAGTTCCAGGTGCAGGCCTTCCCGTTCCGCATGACGCCGGAAAACATGGCCGCGCACCGCGACAGCCCGCATTTCGAGTACTGGAAGATGCTCAAATCGGGCTATGACCATTTCGAGCTGACGCGCACGCCGCCCAAGGTCGATGTCTGCGAGCGCAAGTACATCTTCAACCAGATCCCCGAGGACGGCGACTTCGAAGCGGCTGCGCAGTGCCCGCAGACGACGATGCCGGCGCCGCTGGCCATCGCCTACAACCAGCTCAAGCAGCAGCACGCGCTGCAGTTCGAGCGCGCCGTGGCGCGCCTCGAGGGCCGTCCGCTCGATCTCAGCGAGGGCATGACCGGACTTCTGGACCTGCCGCCGACGCCGGTGCGCCAGGTCGAACCGCTCACGCCGGCCGAGGTATTGCCGACCATCGGCCAGCCGCCCGAGGCATCGGTTCAGCCGGCGCCCGCCGTTCAGCCTGCAGGACAATCCGCGCCGTCATCGGCCCAGTCGACGCCGCTGACGGCGATCACGCCCGGCACGGCCGGCCCGATCATCGCGACGTCCAGCGGATCGGGCATCACCGCCAATTCCGGCCCGCAGGCGGCTCCGGCTGCGCCGGGCGTCGCCCCGGATTCCGGCGCCGGAACCGGGGTTCCCCTGCCGGCCTCGCGGCCGTTGCAGTGACCGCGCCATGAGCGGAGAGGCACTGTCCGACGATTACGATCTGCGCGGGCTGAACTGCCCGCTTCCCGTGCTGAAAACGCAGAAGCGGATGCGCGCCATGGCGGCCGGCGAGCGGCTCTGGGTGCGCACAAGCGATCCTCTCGCGGTGATCGACATTCCCAATTTCTGCCGCGAGAGGGGCCACGGCCTGATCGAGACCGAGAGCGTCGATGACGGCCACCGCTTCCTGATCGAACGGGGCTGACGCGCGCCGCTACCCGCTTTCGGGGCGGCTCGCCGGCACCGGCACATCGAAGCCGGGCCGCAGTTGGTAACGTTCCATCTCCGCCTCGCTGGCCAGCGACGGCCGATAGGGCCGCGGCGCCGGCACCGGATAGGCGTCGATCGCCGCGCCGCCCAGCACGATCGCGGTCATGCTGCCGCCTTCGGCGCCTCCAAGTCCGACCCGCGCGGCGCGCGGTTCCCGGTCCATCGTACCTATGAGGGCAGTGTCGAAGACGATGTTGCCATCGACATCGCGCCCGTCCCAGCGGGCGGCACGCGCCTCGTCGGTGCACACGACCGACCGCAGATCGGCGGGAACGCCGTCGGCGTCGGTTCCCGGAACGCTGTCGAGATCGACGGTGGTGGCCGCTTCGGCGCTGAAACCGTCCTGCAGCAGCGTCGCGCTCTTTTCGGCGCGCTCCTTCTGGCTTTCGGTGCCCATCACCACGGCGACCAGCGTGCGGCCCCCGCGCGTTGCCGATGCGACCAGATTGAAGCCCGATGCGCATACGAAACCGGTCTTCATGCCGTCGGCGCCCTCGAAGCGGCCAAGCAGCAGATTGTAGGACGGGATCAGCTGTTCGCCGAAGCTGATCGCCTCGATGGAAAAATAGTCGGCGCGGTCGGCAAACTCGGTCCTCAGCGCGCGGGCCAGAACCGCCATGTCGCGCGCGGTCGTATATTGCTGTTCGTCGTGCAGCCCGTGCGGATTGACGAAACTGGTGTTCGTCATGCCAAGGCGCGCCGCTTCCTCGTTCATGCGTGCAACGAACGCCGCCTCGCTGCCCGCCACCGCCTCGCCGAGCGCGACGGCGATGTCGTTGGCCGAGCGGACGATCACCATCTTGATCGCATTGTCGACGGTCATGATCGATCCGGACGGATAGCCCATCCGGCTCGGCGGCGTGGAGACGGCGTTGGCGGTGACGCGCACCGGCGAGCGCAAGGTCAGTTCGCCGGCCTCGAGCGCACGGAACGTGACATAGGCGGTCATCAGCTTGGTCAGCGAGGCCGGGCTCCAAAGGTCGTGCGCCTGCTCGTGATGCAGCACCGACCCGGTTGCCGGCTCGAAGACCAGCGCCGGCGCGGCCTCGGCGGCGATCGGCAGCCCGAGCGCCAGAACCAGCGCGGCTGCGGTCCGCGCCGGCATCGTCCTGCGTGCAGTTGGTGCGATCATCATGTTCCCCGGCCAGCCCGTTTGCGCCGCATCCCGCGCGGCTCCGTTGCGCCATCAAACAAATCGTGCCCGGTCATGGCAACCGCGAAATGATGACATCGGCGCGAGCGGCGCGCTATATGGACCCCAGATCAGACAGGCCGTGTCCCGGTCCCAGCGAGAGAGAGCCTTCATGCCCTTATTGAACCGCGCCGCCGAACTGCAGGATGAAGTCAGCGGATGGCGCCGCCATCTGCACGCCCATCCCGAACTGATGTTCGATGTGCACGACACGGCCGCCTTCGTCACCGACAAGCTGCGCGCCTTTGGCTGCGACGAGGTGGTGACCGGTCTTGGCCGCACCGGCGTCGTCGGCGTCATCAAGGGCAATCGGGGCGAAGGCGAGACGATCGGCATGCGCGCGGACATGGATGCGCTGCCGATCCGCGAGGCGACGGACGTGCCGCACAAATCGACCATCGCCGGCAAGATGCATGCCTGCGGCCATGACGGACACACCTCTATGCTGCTCGGCGCGGCCAAATATCTTGCCGAGACGCGCAACTTCGCCGGCACGGTGGTCGTCATCTTCCAGCCGGCCGAAGAGGGTGGCGGCGGCGGCAACGAGATGGTCAGGGACGGGCTGATGGAACGCTTCGGCATCGACCGCGTCTACGGCATGCACAACATGCCCGGCGTCGATGCGGGCGCGTTCGTCATCCGGCCGGGCGCGCTGTGCGCGGCGACCGACGAGTTCACGATCACGGTGACCGGAAAGGGCGGCCACGCCGCCATGCCGCAAAAGAGCATCGATCCGATCGTCATCGGCGCGCAGATCGTCACGGCGCTGCAATCGATCGCCTCGCGAAACACCGACCCGGTCGGGTCCATCGTCGTGTCGGTGACCAAGTTCAATGCCGGTACGGCCTACAATGTCATTCCCGGAACCGCCGTTCTGGCGGGAACGGTGCGCACGCTCGACGAGGATGTCCGCAAGCTGGGGGAGGAACGGCTGCACGCCATCACGCACGGGATCTGCGAGGCGCATGGCGCCGAGGCCCATATCAAATGGCATCGCGGCTATCCGGTGACGGTCAATCATGCCGACGAGACGATGATCGCGGCCGATGCGGCCGAGCAGATCACAGGGCAGGGAACAGTGCCGACCGACATCAAACCGATGATGGGCGGGGAGGACTTTTCCTACATGCTCAACGCCCGGCCGGGCGCGATGATCATGATCGGCAATGGCGACAGCGCCGGACTGCATCACCCCGAATATGATTTCAACGACCAGATCATTCCGGCCGGCATCAGCTTCTGGGCCAAGCTCGCCGAAACCAATCCCGCGCGCTGAGCGCGGGCGTCATTCGGCTTTCTGGGTTTTCTGACCGGTAGCGGCGGCTTCGCCGTCCATGCCCCGCGGGCAGTAAAGATCGTGCAGGACAGCGAGCACCTCGGTCACTTCGCGGCCCTGCAGCGAATAATAGATCGTCTGCGCATCACGCTCTGTCTTGACCAGGCCCGCCTCGCGCAGCTTGCGCAGATGGTGCGACATGGCGGGCTGTGACAGGTTGACCGCCTCGGCCAGCTTGACCACGCTCCATTTCTGTTCTGACAGCGCGCACAGGATGCGCAGGCGCACCGGCTGGGAGAGCATTTCCATCAGCCGGGCCGCCTCGGCGATATGCGGTTCGAGCTCTTCGATATCCATTATATAAGACCTCTTGAATATTAACTGATGAGAATATAACTATCGGATCATCGCGGTGCAAGCAGGCGCTGCGAAAAGGGCGGAAAGCCCCGTTCAACCGGTTGGGATCAAGGAAAGCTTCATGGCCACCGAATTCACCCCCTTCATGTCGCTTCTGGGCGGCTTTCTCATCGGCGTCGCCGCCATCGCGCTGATGGCGCTGCATGGCCGCGTTGCCGGGATGACCGGCATCATGGCCGGCATTCTGCCGCCAGCCGTCAGCGACTGGCAGTGGCGCGCCGCGTTTCTGGCGGGCGCCGTCATCGCGCCGGCCCTGTTCCTGTTTGCCGGCGGAACCGTGCCGTTCGCGGTTCCCGTGCCGGTCTGGGCCATGGTCGTCGGCGGTCTGATTGTCGGCATCGGCGTACATTTCGGCTCGGGCTGCACGTCCGGTCACGGTGTCTGCGGCATGGCGCGCCTGTCGCCACGCTCGATCGTCGCCACCATCACCTTCATGATCACGACGGGCATCACCGTCTATGTCATGCGTCACGTTCTTTCGGTCGGAGTTGCCTGATCATGCATATCGTTTCAGCCCTTCTCATCGGCGCCGTCTTCGGCCTGGGGATCGCCATTTCCGGCATGGCCAATCCGGCCAAGGTGATCAACTTCTTCGACGTCGCCGGCACGTGGGACCCCAGTCTCATCTTCGTGATGGGCGGCGCGCTGGTCACCACGGCGATCGGCTATCGTATCGTCTTCGGCACGCGGTCCCGGCCGCTGTTCGCCAAGAATTACTCCCTGCCCACGCGCACCGATCTCGATGCGCGGCTGATCGGCGGCTCCGCCCTGTTCGGCGTCGGCTGGGGTATCTCCGGCTTCTGCCCGGGCGGCGCCATCCCGGCACTCGGGCTCGGCCAGCCGGCCGTTCCGGTCTTCGTCATCGCGATGGCCGCCGGCATCATCGTCGCGCGCAGCGCGCTCAGTCCCATGCTCAGCAAGACCGCTTCTGCGTAAGCGGCATAAAAGGAGTCCCATAATGACACTTCAGTTCCAGCCCGACATGCAGGTCAAACCGGACGTTGCGGCCTTCTTCGATCCGCAGACCAACACGATCTCCTATGTCGTCAAGGACCCGGCAAGCAACAGCTGCGCCATTGTCGATTCGGTGCTCGATATCGACTATGCGGCCGGCCGGCTGTCCTATGACAGCGCCGACAAGATCATCGAACACGTCAAGGCCAACGGCCTGACCGTCGAGTGGATCATCGAGACCCATGTCCATGCGGACCATCTGTCGGCGGCGCCCTACCTTCAGGAGAAGCTTGGCGGCAAGATCGGCATCGGGGACCAGATCACGATCGTCCAGGACACGTTCGGCAAGGTGTTCAACGAGGGCACAGAGTTCCAGCGCGACGGCTCGCAGTTCGACCGGCTGTTCGCCGACGGCGACACCTATCAGGTGGGCTCGATGACCGCCCATGTGATGGCGACGCCCGGCCACACGCCGGCCTGCCAGACCCATGTGATCGGCGATGCGGCCTTTGTCGGCGACACGCTGTTCATGCCCGATGGCGGTTCCGCCCGCGCCGATTTCCCCGGCGGCGATGCAGGCGTGCTCTACGATTCCATCCAGCGTGTTCTGGCGCTGCCGGACACGACCCGCCTGTTCATGTGCCACGATTACGGTCCGAACGGCCGCGACATCAAGTGGGAGACCACGGTCGCCGACGAGAAGGCGCACAACATCCATGTCGGCGGCGGCAAGAGCCGCGATGCGTTCGTCGCCATGCGCACGGCGCGCGACGAAACGCTCGACATGCCCAAGCTGATCCTGCCGTCGCTGCAGGTGAACATGCGCGCCGGCGACGTTCCCACGGACAAGGACGGCAACCCGATGCTGAAGGTTCCGCTCAACAAGCTCTGAGCGGCCAGCGTTGCGGCCCGGACGGCGTCCGGGCCGCAGCATCCCGAAACAATTCAAGAGAAGGCCCGATGTGATGCGCAAGCCGCCTCATCTCCTGCAGCGCTATTTCCCGGTGCTCGATTGGGGGCGCGGCTATGATGGCGAGACCCTGACCGGCGATCTGGTCGCCGCGGTGATCGTCACCATCATGCTGATCCCGCAATCGCTCGCCTATGCGCTGCTGGCGGGTCTGCCGCCCGAAATGGGCCTCTACGCCTCCATCGTGCCGATCGTCCTTTACGCTCTGTTCGGCACCTCGCGGGCGCTGGCCGTCGGCCCGGTCGCGGTCGTCTCGCTGATGACGGCGGCGGCGATCGGCAAGGTCGCCGAGCCCGGTTCCTCCGACTATATCATCGCCGCTTTGACGCTGGCCTTCATGTCGGGCGCGCTTCTCGTCGCGATGGGGCTTTTGCGCCTCGGTTTCGTCGCCAACTTCCTGTCGCATCCGGTTATTGCCGGCTTCATCACCGCGTCGGGCATCCTGATCGCTGCCTCGCAGCTCAAACATCTGCTCGGCGTCAGCGCCCACGGCCACACGCTGCCCGAGATCCTGGGCAGCCTGATCGCCGATCTGGGTGCGCTCAACTGGATCACGCTTGTCATCGGGGTCGCGGCCACCGCGTTCCTGTTCTGGGTGCGCGGCGGGCTGAAGCCGATCCTTGTCCGCATCGGCATAGCAGAACGCCTTGCCGGACATCTGGCACGCACCGGCCCGGTCTTCGCCGTTGCGGTCACTGCGTTGGCCGCCTGGTACTGGAACCTTGGAGAGGCGGGCGTCAAGCTCGTCGGCGACGTGCCGCGCGGCCTGCCGCCGCTGACCCAACCGTCCTTTTCGCCCGATCTATGGCTGGCGCTCGCCGGTCCGGCGGTGCTGATCTCGATCATCGGCTTTGTCGAATCGGTGTCGGTCGCCCAGACGCTGGCCGCCAAGCGGCGCCAGCGCATCGACCCGGATCAGGAACTGATCGGCCTGGGCATGGCCAACATGGGCGCCGGCATGACCGGCGGCTATCCGGTCACCGGCGGCTTTGCCCGCTCGGTCGTCAATTTCGACGCCGGGGCGCGGACGCCCGCAGCCGGCGCGTTCACCGCGATCGGCCTTGCCATTGCCTCGCTGACGATCACGCCGTTCATCGCCTTTCTGCCGCAGGCAACGCTGGCGGCAACGATCATCGTCGCGGTCCTCAGCCTGGTCGATTTTTCGATCTTCCGGACGGCATGGATCTATTCGAAGGCCGACTTCGTCGCGGTCGCCGCCACCGTTCTGGTCACCCTTGTGATCGGCGTCGAGGCCGGCGTGACGGCAGGCGTGCTCCTGTCGGTGCTGATCCACCT